ATCGATGAATGACCTTCCCGAGACAGTGTTTATGTTCTTCTGAGGGCTTCCAACGCCGAAACTGAACTGTTGTTTCTGACGATGTTTACAGTGCCACACACTGCGGTGAGTGCAAGGACGGTGACTTGTGCGGCATCTACCACATTCTCCACTCATCTTCCACATAGACCCGTTGTCATGGCCAATTCAGTGATACTGGAGGCGAGAGGGGAGGGGGTGGATAGCTGGCCTACATCAAGTGGTCGTGGTCACAGCAAGTGTCAGAGAATATTTCAGTTGAAAGTAGTGACCGATACATGTTCAAAAACGCAAGTCCTAGACGTGGCTGAGCTCAATCATCACAAATATCCACTCTTCTGCCCTTTTTATGTGACCACAGCATAGAGAATTTAGATACCGACACCCTGGAGTAAACCGAAATTAAGATAATCAACCAATTTCAGTCTATCGAGCCAAGGCCATGTTTCCGTTCCATTCCAACAAAACAGTCCCTTCATCACTGCCAGCATCCGGTCCTCCGTCCCAATATCCAACATCTTACTTCTACTAGCAGTGGTATCTCTTCACTCGACCCAACAAATACCACCAACGCATAAAGAATTGCCATTGGCATGCGGTTTGAGAATGGAGCACTTGTAGTAGCCCAAGTCCGCCGCGAAAAGCCCGCACCTAATCCTGCCACCATAACCCAATATGTAGCAGTTGTCGTGGTCAGCATCCCCAAATAACACTTCCCGTGCCCTAATCTAGCCTCCCTGTGGTTTCACGGTACCTAGCATGTGGTACGGTTAGGGGACACCCAATTTAACCGTCCAATATCATACTGTAATAAACGGTTACAGACCGCTGGACCAGTAGAATCGCATACCGTGTTCCAAGCCGACGTGTCCTCAGCCCGACAAAGACAGATCGGATAAGTTTTCCAAAGGAGGCCGCATTCATAGGCTCAAGCCAGAATTCCATGCAGTGGTTGAGGTAGTGTGAGTAGAGAGCGCTTCTCGGCAGGCTAACACCCTCCGCCGTCTCAAAGTTTTGCAGGAGCCATTGTATCTAAATAGAAGGCAGCAAAAATAACTTAGGCTAGAAGGCCAAAAAGATAAAGCTATGCCTTTTGCGGAAAGTAATAAATCAACTGATCATGAGGCCAGATCAAACACGACCTGGCCCTGTATGTTTCAGATGTTTAGGCACACTTCATGTGTTATGTCATGTGTACTGTGCCCGCTAGAGAATCCTGAAATTGCAATTACCGAAGAACCTCAAAATACTCCTCTATAACTTACCGTGACTGGACTGGCCCTGGTTGAATGGTGTCGAAGGTATCGGAGATAGTACTGTCCAAGCTGGTTGTTCATACGAGCCAGAATTGCAGGTACTGTTGTGTTGCTACCAGAAGCGCTAGGTGGTGTATGTGGTTGGAGATTCTGCATGCTGGTCAGAGCGGCTCCCACAACCGGCCAAGTCCGGATCCCGCACGACAGTCAGTCGGGGATTAGGGCTGAAAGGAGGAGGAAAGTAACTTTTACCAAATCGCACAGTGAACGAAATACTGGAGTTGGCTACTGAACTACTGACGACAACCATTTGGCTAAAAATGATGTGGTTTAGTGTACGATACTCAAAGACGCGGGAAAAGTAGAAGGTGACTACCGAGAAAGACAACTAAAACTAGAATGGCTATTTATGGCTTATTAGTCACAGTCAGCCAGTCCTATCCAACCCAGGGGTTTAAAACGCCTAAGGCTCAAGCCGACGTTCTGTCGGTTCGAAGGTTAGCGTTCTAAACATTGAGCCACGGGCTTGTAGTAAGCCTGTAGTGGTCCTTTCTGCCCGACGCCCACCTAACTCTTGACATGACAGACAAGGACACTCAAAGCCGGACCTTGCGCGAATGTACTTTTCGGCCTGCCTCCGACCAGCAGCAAACTGGAACATGAAACACTCACCACCCACGCCAGTGTCTATCTTCGTGCGGTCCAACCAA